GGCCATATCATTGTTCTTATTATTACCCACATATTCTACCTCTGCCACCCAAAATTTTGAAATTTCTCTGTGTCCATAACCTCCTTTTCTTGTGTCATTATTGTTCTTGCCTCACATTCTTCCCTTTAAAATCATGCTATAGTTAATTAAGATGTGGGTCTTCTCCTTGCTGATGCCAGCCCTCTTCCTTGTGTCTTTGATCTCATCTCCTCCCATCTCCTTTGGGAGCTTTCATCTTTGTTCATTATTGCCATCTTTCTAATCTTGATACACACTTTTTATTCACTGACTCCTTCCCATTTACCTGCAAACTTGCTCAGTTGTCCTTCAGCCTTTCAGACAAAATTATACTTGACTCTGCTGTCCCCTTAAAGCAATTACTTTATACATCTTGTCCATTTCACAAAAAAAAAGTTTAATTGATATCCAGCTTAGAAACAAATGGAACAAAAATGCATTTAAAAATTTTTTTAATTGAAATGCATTGTAGGACTCCTCCATCTTAATTACATGGGCTAAATGTTTTTATGAACTTGGTCAAGTCTAACAAATATATATATATGTGTGTATATATATATATATGTGTATATATATATATATGTGTATATATATATGTGTATATATATATGTGTATATATATATATATATATATATATATATATATATGTATATATATATATATATATATATATATATATATATATGTGTATCACCAAAAGCTAACAATCAACTCCTAGAAAAAGCTTTTTGTATATCTTTATAACCCACTCACTTTTACAGTCTTTACTGCTGATATTACTAGTGAGCCTAAACTGTTTTCTCTGAGGTTACTGGAAATCTTTTAATCACTAAACCCTGTGCCCCCTTCTTGGTCTTCTCATCCTTCGTTACCTCTCTGCTTTGTATGATGCTCTTCTCCTTTTGGATACTCTCTCCTCTCTGGGTTTTCTTAACATTACTCTCAATCAACAAACATTATATTAAGCACTTATTATGTGTTGGGTACTATGTGAGGAGCTGGAGATAGGGGTATAAAGAATAAAACAATTCCTACTAGCAAGGAGCTTATATTAATGGGAAAGACAGCACGTTCATCTGTAAATTCATACAGCACATATGTAAAATTAATAAATCCAAGCATGTACAAAATAGTTAAATGCAGGGTAGTTTGGAGGGGGAGGGCAGTATCATATTTGGGGGAATCTAGAAAGGCATCTAAATGCAGAAGATAATGCTTCTTAAATAGGAGATAGACTGAAGAGAGAACTTAAAAAAGGACTTTTCAGGAGTGTTGGACCTTTTTCACTTTTAATGGTCTTACTTCATTGATTTTATCAGTTTCCATTAGTCCATTTATCAAGTCTGCTCAAATGATTCCCCAGATCTATATATCCAGCCCTCATTTTCCTCCTTAAGCTCCAGTCTCATTTTTGTTTTGTGTTCTCATAAGGATCTTAAACTCAGTATGTTCATAATGGAGCTCATTACCTTCTCTCCAAAACCCACCTCTCATTTTAACTTAACATATATCTATGGTGGGTACCACAACCATCCTGTTAATTCTGGTTTGCTACAGTGGAGTGATCCCATTCCACTTGCTCTTAACCTCTTTTGTATCATAGACTCTTTTGGCAGTCTGATGAAGCTTATGGATCGTTTCTCAGAGTATTTTTAAATGCACAAAATAAATCGGGAATAAGCATTTATATAGTGCCTACTCTATGCAGTCACTGTGTTTAAGCACTTTTACCAGTATCCCATTTGATCCTCATAACAGCCCTCCTATATTAATATCCTCATTTTACAGTTGAGGAAACTGAGGCAAACAGAAGTTGAGTAACTTTCCCAGGGTTACACGTCTAGTAAGTGTCTGAGGCTACATTTGAACTCAGGTCTTCCTGACTTCAGGTCTAGTGCTCTATCTATTGAGCCACCAGCTGCCTAGTATTACAGAGAAAATTAATTATATTAAATATAGATGGGTTTTTCCCCTACCTCAGGCCAGGGACCCCTTGAAATCTATATGTAGATCCCAGATTGAGAGTTTCCTGCCCTATGTTATTTACTCTTAACCTCCACATCTAATCACTTTCCACGTTTTAAAGTTCTACCTCCATAACACGTTTACTTCTCTACAGTCACTAATCTAGTTCAGAATTTCCCCACCTCTGTGTTGGACTATTGCTCCTAATTGGTTTCCCTTGTCTCTCCAGTCTATCCTCTTTCCATACAACTAACAAACTGATATTCATACTAACACAAAGTTTTGACAGTGCCACTCCCTCATTTGCCACTAGGATCTCATACAAATTCTTTTTGTTCTTTAGGACCTTTCATAATCCATCTCTAGCCTACCTTTTAAGACATTTAACATTATTCCTATTCACATACCATGTTTCAGCAAGAGCAGCCAGTTTTCTCTTTCTCAGAGGCAACATTCTTTTGTCTATTTCTCTTTTACACAGGCTGTCCTCCATGATTAGAATGCATTTCATTCTTTCCTTCACCTTTTAGAATCTCTACCTTCAAAGCTCATTTCATAGACCTCCTTAAACATGAAGCCTTTCCTGATCCCCCTAGCTTTTAGTGCCTTTCCCACTTTCATAATACTTTATATTTGCTTTGCACTTTATATATATATTTTATATACACTTCTCTGTGTATATGTTCCAGTGTTCTTTTTACTCTACTAATATACTAATTAAATTAAATGAATGAATTGCATGTGATCACAGATCCATCAAAAGTATTGACATATCAACACGGCTCCTTTGAAATGTACTGTACACATTTTGGTATATTGAGTTCTGTATGCATGTTTTTAACTTCTGTTTTCATTGTTGAATTTTGTGTATCTTTATCTGGAATATTCACATAAGTCTGATAAATATTTATTATGTTAATGGTAAATAAAGCAGTTTTGGAGGAATTACTTTTTTTTCAGCCCAAGAAAATGTGTTCAGTAAAATATTATTCCAGTACAATAAATCATATGCTTATAATCTGAGTTTATGTACCACAGAATGGGAAATAATTGTTTTCTTCTCATGTGGACAAGATTGAGAATCTTGAAAGATTAAAGTTGATTGAATGATAGAATGCCATTAAAAACATTTCATGTGTATTTTAATGCAAAAGAAGTTTTTTCACGCTAGCTCTTTACCACATCCTCTTGTCTCTGAAACAAAACATTTCTGGCTATTTGCTAAGTATTCACTTCATCGTTTATTCTCTCTTTGGCATAGATTTTAATGAAAGGAGTTTGAAGAGAGAGATTAGATTTTAGTTACTTAAATGATTTATTATTGCTTTTACATTTCTGTACACCAATAACTTTGCTCTTTTCCTTTTATTTTTTTTTTTATCCTATTGCTTTGGGATCTGCTATTTCCAATAGTCTGTCACCTCATTAACTATACAGTTGCATTGTTTTATAAAACTAAAGTCTTACATATCTGACTCTTAAGAGGTTAAGGAATTATCCACTCTTCTAGTATTAAAAGTAGCAACTTGACATGAATTTTTCTTCAGAAGTATGGAAATGCTACTTTTTCAGTGCCATCTGTGTGTCATAAAGAAAGATGTTATGAAATAAGCTTTAATTTTTTTGAAAACGTTGTGATGGAAAAACAATAACTCTTCATTGGGTTTTATCCATTGTATCTTTTATCATATCTGATTTTTTAAAAATACATATCAGTAATTCACTGAGTTTTTGCTGTACGAAGTCCTGACATTTCAGAGTATAAATTCTGTTAGCTGAAGTAATTTATGATCTACTGGAGAAGACACAGTCAATACAAAGATATATATGTATCCTTTTCATTTTGTTGCCTTAAAGGGATTGTATGATGTGTTGAAATCCAAGTATGTCCAAATTGACATAAATTTTACAATGTTTTTATAGACTCTTGAAGGTTATATAGTCCAGCTCCTTCTTTTTGTAGATGATGAAGTTAATGACATAAGAATTTAAGTATTGTTGAAGGTCAAAAATGGTGAGTGGCAGAATGGGAATTAGAACCCAGGTTTCCTGAACTGCCAGGTCAGCGTTTTTATCACTACCGGATACTGCTTTTTCCAGACTAAAAAAGGGAAAGGACATAAAGGAATATTGTCTATGACTAGGAAAGTTAAGGTTGTCTATAATTAGGGCTTTAAATAATAATTGAAAATATACTCCATAGCATTAGTACTGTACTTTATTAGTCTACTGATACTTTGTGCCAGCCATGAAATTATCCTAGCTATAACATTGGTAAGTATGGGAGAGAATGTTCAAATAAATGGGAAGGGAGAAACCTACTTAAAAGGCTTCATTTATTTTATTTTTTTTTCCAGTTTTAATCATTTGTTTTAATAGTGAGGTGGTAGGACAAATGGTATGTTATATAGTATATCCCAAAAGTCTTAGTGCAATTTCAGCCTTTTCAAGTTTCAAAGCTTGAAACTTCACAAAAGACTTGTGGGACTCTCTGTATTGTGGTATTTAGATATTGGATGAAAACCACTATTTATGCTTATGAAGAGTTCTTTTGTTGTTATTATTAAGTGGAGAAGCTTGCTTTTTCTATGTTTATTATTGATTACATTTAATGTTTTATAAGTAGAACTAAAAAATCTATTTAGGAAGTTTTAAGATGAAATCACAAAATACAACTCTGTGTGTGTGTGTATTTGTGTGTATATGTTGTGTTATTTATATGTGTTAAAAAAAAAAGTTAAGATGAACTTCTTTCCCTGTAAATCTTGCAGGTGTTTGAGAAAAGTCTTTTTGTCCTGTATTATGAGTAGTCCTATCTAGAAGCAAGGAGAGATAGATTAAATATTTTCAAATCCTGTTTAGTGCTTTGCTTGCTATTGGTTCAAATAAATATTTTTTAAGCATCTATTAACATATACTGGCTAAATAGAATATTAAAATCCTTGATTTCATTCAAGAGGAAGATATATGTGTATGGTGTTTGTTGTTGTTGTTGTTTTTTCCTTTTTTTTTTTAGAAGACCACTGAAGCAAATCAGAGTGATACAAGTATCTCCTCATCAGAAATAAAAACCAAAAGTCTTCATCTCGTAGCCAGTGAAACAAAACTTGGTTCTCCCTTAAATAATAGAGCTTTGGATGGCAAAGACACAACTAGTCGATGTTCCCATGAAGATGACATGGATGGCGATTCCTTCTTTGATGATCCCATTCCTAAGCCAGAAAAAAGTTATGGTTGGTGAGTGAATCTTGCCTTGTGTATAAATTACCACATTTCTTGATAATCTCAAAGTATGCCTTTAATATTTAGCTTCATAGTTTAAGGAAATTCCTTAACTATTTTCAGGTTTGTAGACTAATTTATAACATGAATCTTAGGCATTTAGAAAAGAACTTTAATAGATGGAAAATGTCTACATAAAGAAATTAAATTTTTACATTAATATCAGACCAGAATATAATTTGCTTTTTAGCATAATTTCTCCTTTTTCATATATTCCATAATTCTCCTTTATCCTTTCACTCTTACTAGTTATAGGCCAAGAGCTTTTGTATGCTGTGGCCACAGAACAGACTGGTGTATAAATATTAATCCTATAAGAGTATATTGACAGAACACACCTCCCACGTCTATTTTGGTACCAAAATTTTAACCATTACTATCTCATGCCTTTTTGTACATTTCAAATCAGTACTGAGGGACAATGCCAAAATTTTCAGGCCTTAGCCCCAGGAGTTGGCAACCCAGTGTGTGTGTGGTCACAGGTTAGTTAGTACTTTCACACACACTAAGAGGAGTAGGTACAGTATTTACTCCTTGCCTGAGGAGAATGGGTAAAAAGGATGCTACCCTTTCCCATTCTCCATACGAGTACTACCAAAAATTTTGTTTGTAAAAAGAGTGACTTATATTGTCTCCTTTGTTACGTTAAAAGTAAGCAATAAAATGACTTCCTAATAGGCCATGAGAGATGGGAGCACTCTAACCTGGCATGTGACTTTTTTCCCCCAGATTGCTTACTTCTTTGTGTAATATTTTTCATACCTTGTATTGGCGTGGTGCGTTTTTGTTTTGAAAGAATAATTTTTTTTTTAGGATTTCATTAGAAATTGGTAAAAATTGAAGTTGAAAAAATGGGCACTTATTCACTTCTTTATAAGTATTATAGCATATGAGGAATAATAGATTATATATATGTAGATATATAGATATAGATATATATCTCTTGAGTTATTTTCTTTGTCAACCACTTGAGCTTTCTATCAGTGTAAAGAAATATTTTTCTTTTTTTAACTCAATGTTTGACTTTTAGGTAGATATGAAGATTATAATGCAGCCAGAGGGCAAGAAACTTGTTTTTTTTACTGACCTTTATATTTAGTACAGTACCACAGGAAAAAGATATATAGGCTTTTAGGGCCAGCTGTGACACTGAGAAGCGAAAGAGTTCTAAGAAAACAAAATTCTAATTAATTAGAGAAAAATATATTTCCCTTTTTAATTCATTCTTCAATATCTCTTGTTTGTTAGTTTTTCAGACAGTACTACTCAACTTTATTCTGTTAGCTATTTGCCAGTAGGAATACTTATTCTTGTGTAAATCTTTTTCTCCTGCCTGCGATTTCCTAATGTGGGGTCAAAAAGGGCTTCTGATAAAAACAGTGACACAGAAGATGACATAGAAGATTTGTTTGATATAACAGATGTCAAACAAAACTCTAAAAAGAGGTGAGGAGGTAATTTCTTATTAAATATCTTGGTGCATGAATTTGTTATTGTTGTTTTCTTCTTCCTGTTTTTCTAGTTGCCATACCAAAAGCTTTTGAGTCTATGATTTGCATAGTAAAGTTTCTACATTTTCTGTGTATAAACATGATTTGAGTAGCTTAGGTTACATATGGTGAAAGAAAGAATATATTATAAACTGTAAGTTACATATTTGTTTTCCTAATTAGGAAAAGTGAATCAAGCAAACAGGTGGGAAGCCTTGCATCACTTTCTGATGCACCACCGTTAAAAAGTGGACTTAGCTCCCTTACTGGAACACGTTTACTAAAAGAATCTGAAAGTAAGTACCTCAGAAGTCACCAAAACCCACAAGTTCCTATAATGTGACTTTTGTTTGTTTTGACAGTGGAAGGAGTGGTAGATTTAGTGTCAGAAGATCTGGGTTTGCATCCTACCTCTGATATTGTGGCCATGAGCAAGTGAACTAAACTCTGAATGTCAGTTTCCTAATTTGTAATACAAAAATGAAAACATTCTCCTTGCTTGTCTTACTGAGATGTTGTGAAGATCAAATGCGGTAATGTTTGTAAGGTTGATTGAAGAACTTTAAAAATAGATTATTGTTATTATTTGGAACTACTCTTATTTTTTATATTTTTTTTCTATTGTTTTTGAGTCTTTTTTAGGTTTAGATTTCAATGCTGTTTCAGGGTTTTTGTGAAGTACATATAATCCTAGCTAGTAATCAGTACAGGAAGATTATTAATAGCTGTGTTTATATAGTGCTTTAAGGTTCGCAAAGCATTTTGCAAATATTACCTCATTTGACCTTCGCAGCCACCCTGGGAGGTCCTGTTATCATTCTCCATTTTACAGATGAGGACACTGAGACAGACAAAAATTAATTGTATTATCCATGATTATACAGCTACTACTTGTGTCCTCCGTGAACTTATATTTGAGGACAGAACACTCTACAGAGAATGCATTAATATATTCTTCATGTAAAGAAAAGACCTGCGTATATTGAGAATGCATGATATACTTTATTAATATTCTCGGTATGTAAGAAAGAATAGGGTTAAAGAAAGAACCTGTGATTTCATTGGTATAAGGAACTCATGCATGTGGAAACATCCCTCTGCTAATGCTGTTTGGTACCTCCTCTGCAACTTTGAGTCTTAGAGAGTTGCCTGGAAATGTCAAACTCAGGTCTGGCAGGCAAAAGTCCATAGTGCACAGAACTAGATTAAAATGTAATTGGGAAATGTTTAACTGAATAAAAATACAGTATAACACTGATAATGTTCATTTGTGTTTTTCTAAGTCAATACATATCCCTGAGGGATCTATTTCCATTTGAGTTTGACACTGCTGGCCTACTACACTACTGAGGAGTTGTGACTTACCTGGGTTACATAGCTAGTTGGTGTCAGAGGTGAGAATTGAATCCTGTTCTTTCTAGCTTACAGGGTTAGCTTTCTCTCCACTGCACCATATTTCCTCAAGAGTGAGAGAGAATAATATATCATTCAACTTGAAGTATAAATTACAAGTAATCTAGTACAGTGTTTCCTCACTTCCAGTTTATTACTCAACTGTGAACTTAGTATGCACACTATTAGGGTTCTATGGTATGCTCAGTCATGCACAGATCAAGCCATCTACAGATGTTCTCACATAACATTCAGCCCCAATCACACCCTATACAAGTGTCAGCCTCCTATACCTTTCTTGTTCTGATTATCCTCATAGCTTACTGATTTGGAATTAATGATCTCTAGTACACTAAGTGTAGATTGGGGTGGGAGGCAATGGGTCGTTGAAGGCAAATACTTAAGAAATAAAGAATGTGTATAATAGTGAACAAGTATGGAACAGGAGAGCCAGATTATAGAAAGAAATGAGGACAGAGGGAAGAAAATAGTAAACTTTTGAAATGTTAGCTTGTGAGTTTTGCATCCAGTAAAAAGCTATAGTGTTTTATAGATGAGGATAATGTAGTTGGAATAGTGAGGACAAAGCATTTCATAGATATCGTTTTAGTTGATTAGGAATGTCATATAATATAATCAGACAGTGTTTTGTAGATAATCAGACTATTGACCAGACCTTATTGATCATCAGCCAGTCTTTTTTATATCGTTATGCTTATATCACGAATGCAATTTTTGTTTTGTTTTGTTTTGCTAGGCAGTGAGGTTAAGTGACTTGCCCAGGGTCACACAGCTTGTAACTATCTGAGGCCAGATTTGAACTCCTGGATTTGGAGTCCTCCTAACTCCAGGGCTGGTACTCTATCCACTGCACCACCTAGCTGCCCCTCCATGCAGTTTTTAAAAGAGAAATTTTAAAGATTACATCCTAGCAATTAATAATATTCCAAACGGATAGTTATGTTTGCTAATTGTTTTTTTTTTCTCAGATACAAGGGGAAGCTCAGTATTGAGAGATCTGAAAATAGTCAGTGATAAAATTGGATCACTTGGATTAGGTAACTAAATTCTCCGTTTTGACATGGTGTTAAATTAGGTTATTTTTGGCATGGTATCTTTTAAAATAGAATTGAAACTTATAATCATCAGCTTGCCACTAGTTAAATTACACTGGTAATTTGCATTTAGGGATAGATTAATGTAGGTGTAAGAGTCAGTAACCTTTAAAAGGCTATTTGCCAAATTTGAATATATTTTCTCTGGTATCTGAGTGGAGAGAATATTCGCTATTTATTAAGTTACTATTTTGTGCAGAGCACTTATGCTATGTAGTAGGGAAACACTCATACTTCAAGAATCTGTTATTCATTGGTCTGGTTACCCTTTTGTTGTTGTTTTTGTAAATTTTTTATTCATTTTAAACTTAAAATACAAAACAAGAAAAGAAAAAAAGAACGTTTTCATGTACACAGCAGAACATAGGAGAGGATTCATTAGAAAACAAATTCCCATTTCAAGAAAATGTATATAATAAATACTACACATTGTTTTCAAAGCTACCCAGCTTTTTCTTTGTTTCCATCTAGATTTTCATTTGTTCCCTGCTATGCACTTTTTACTTTTCTCTTCCCTCCCTACCCTACAGAAGGCTACACTTAAATGCGAGCATATGTACATATACATAGATATCTATATACATATACATATATATGTTCATATACATATATGTAAAACCATACTATGCATATTTCCATTTGTCATTTCTTTCTCTGGAGATGGATAGCATCTTCCTTCATTGGTCCAAATCTTTCCATATTTTTCTAAATCAACCAGCTCATTATTTCCTACACAACAATATTTGAACACAATCATATCCTATCTGAGGGATTGTCTGTGAAAGTTTCTTTCCAGTTTTCTGCATTCCTTCTATTCTTGGTTACATCGGTTTTATTTGTGCAAGAAAATTTTAATTTAATATAATTGAAATCCATTTTACATTTCAATTATGCTCTCACCTTATAATATAGTTTAAGATCTGATATTGCTGAATCTCCTTCCTTTACATCTTTTTTCCTGGTTTCTTTGAAATTCCTTACCTTTAATTCTTCCAAATGAACTTTGCTATTATTTTTTCTAATGCAAGATAATTTTTTATTAAGGTTACCCTTTTTTATCCCCTTCATCCATTCTAACTACAATTCCTCTGTGACTTAGCAAATGGTCTTTGAGAATTGCTCTGCCTACCCCCCCCCAAAAAAAAAATCAGCACCTTGCAGTCAAGTCAGGAGATGAGCCTCTCTGAAATTAGCAAGGCATGGTCTTCAAACAGCATATATATGGTCCATCACTGGGCCCATTCTTGATGCCTTTTCAGTTTAATAGGACCTGTTGGAGTTTGCATGCTACTGAGATGGCCTTCAGGAAGCCAAGATGATATCCATATCATAACGAGGCCTTAGAGTGGGCCTTTTAGGTGAGGTTGAGGGAAATAAAAATGCCAAATAATACAAATCACTGTTTTCATGCTGCTCATAATTTAGAGGAGAATCAAACGTATCCACAAATAACTAACATAGTGTAATATATGATGAACAATTTATAGAAGTGAAAATAAAGTGCAGTGTGAAAGAGGAATCAAGGGAATCTCCTGGAAATAGGCCAAAGATATGAGTTCCTTGACAGCAAAGCTTTTATTTTTGCTTTTCTTTGTATACCCAGCATTTAGTATTGTACCTGGCATATATCAAGCACTTAATAAATGCTTATTGATACTGACTGACTGAAGGAGAGCTACTTTTTATTTCTCAAAACCTCTACTGATATGAAAATTCATTTAAAGGCACTGAATCAAAGATGAGGACATTGCTGTTCTTAATGGAAATCCTAAAAAGTTTGAGAAGCATGAGAGTGAATAGGTAATTTTTCACAGTCTAGCAATTGACATTAATTTAGTGGTTGAGAACCCAGTTCCAAGGTAAATGGAGCTAATAACTCAGTAAACTCTCTGGTAGATGTCTACTGCCTCAATAAATAAATAAAAGGTCATTTTTTTTCTCATTTTATTTCATTTTTACTAAATTGTCATTATTTTTCATTGCAAATACATATTATTAAAGAACCTTTTGTGGACTGGGAACCCTGATATTATTTATAATATTGTTTCTGTGAGAAAATGTCTTTGGAGAGCCAAAAGACTGACACTGGCTTTCTTGCTTTTCTTCAAACAAGATACCATATTTCCTGACACTCTCCATGTATTTTCACTGGCTGTCTCCTATAGCTGGAATGTTCTCACTCCTCATTTCTGCCTCCTGGTTTCCTTGAAGACCTAGATAAAATTCCGTCTTCTACAAGAAACCTTTCCTAAACCTCCTTAATGCTAGTAACTTCATTCTATTGCTTTCCAGTTTATCCTGCATATATCTTGTTTGTGCACAGTTGTTTTCATGTTGTCTTCCCCATTAGACTGAGCTCTTTGAGGATAAGGACTATCATTTGCCTTTCTTTGTACTCTCAGTGCTTAACATAGTGCCTGACACATAGTAGGTGCTTAATAAATGTTTGTTTATTGACCTTAGGAATACTTTTGTGATTTGTTAATTGACCTGTCTATATAAAAAAAATTCTTTGTTAATAAATCCCAGATCTAATGGTTAGTTAAAACCAGTTACTTCACTCATTTAAATGGCTATGTTACCATATTGGCTCAACTATAGTAGCTATTCGCATCTGTTCCCTATTCCCCAAAACACAACACATACACACACACACACACACACACACACACACAACACACACACACACACACACACACACACACACTCTACCTTTAACCAGAAAAAAAATGTGTAAATATACACCAAAAAATCATATTGATTAATCCATGTTTAGGCAGACTTCAAGCCAGAATTTGTCAGGAATCGAAGAGGGAGAAAGATTGCTTACATTGCAGCCAATACAGTACATGCAATGTAAATACTTTTCCACTAGTATGATTACTTTGAGTTCTTCATTCACAGTAAATTTACCTCTTTTAACCAGGAAGTTGGAATGGAATTTCTTGTCACTTAGGACTTTGTTTAATTATATGTTTAATGAGTCATACTGAATAAGGTTAGTTTCTTATAGCAGAAAAATGTACCTCTTTGTGCCGCAAATGACCCCATATCTCTTAGCCAAAAGTTTCCAAAACTAAGTGCTAAAGAGGACAGCATGGTGGGATAGGGAGGGGACAATTGTGACTGTGAGACCTTTCCAATCTAACTGCACTTTCAGTAGTTGTCAAGATGGTCATCACTTGTCTGTAAGAGGGCAAAATACGGCTAGCTACCTCTCGCTGTTTCTTGCTATCTACATCACCATACAGTTGAAGACTGCTAACCCTTACTCAGTTATCCATGTTATGGCTGTGACAGTTATTGCTTCTTTCCTATGTCTGTATAATACCTACGCAATACCTGTTTGAAGTTCTGGTAACAAGGTTAGATCTTCCACTTTGTGAAGAAGGCAAGGCCTGTATTTGACTATGATGATAGTAATTGCTGCAAAATGAGATGTGGCCCTGTCTTGTAGCAACAGCTGATGCTTTATTGGACAACCATTGAATATAGTCCCTGAGAGTCTTGATCCTGGGCTCTTGAGGCAGCAAGAATTTTGGTTGTGGTTATAACATGAAATCAGATACAGAACTTGCCTTCTCTATTCCACTAATTGTATTTTTTAATTGAAATTTTTCAAAAATTCATATTCTCCCCAATTAATCTTTATTAGGAGCTTTATTATAATTTTTGGCAGATTGTATTTGTGACATAGTTCTTCTCTGATATGGGAATGTGTTTAAGGTTGTTAAGGAAATTACTTATTTTGGATGTGTTTCTGAGATTAATAGATTAAAGTTTTTTCTAGTGTGAAGTGTTAGATAACAATTTTTTCTTTTCATGGTATAAACATTTCTGTTATTGGAATGACTTACTTTTATTAAATGATTCTGCAAAATCTGCAACTCTAAATAAAGAACTGTATGTATGTGAATATATGGATATGTATACATATGTATATTATACTAAGTATATATTTTTTAAATTCAGGAACTGGAGATGAAGAGGAGTACATGGATGATTTTAATAGGTAAGAAAGACATTTTCCAAGCAGGCAAATATATTTAAGTAAAAACATACATGTAAATAATTTCTGAAGGTATTTTCAAAAATGGAAAATAAATCCTATTTAGAATTTATAATTATAGTCGACTCCTGTTTATTTTTCCACCAATGGAGTTGCCAGTAGAGGAATAGCTAATCCAAAACCTGTTTATATTTAACTTCATAGAATGTTCTTAGATTTACCCCAATCTAGATTTATAGGCGTAGTGTAGAAATTCACTAAAATATAATAACTAAAGCAAGACTGTAGTTGCTGTGAAGACCTTACATATGAACAAACTTAAAACTGTTAAGCAGCTTCTCTTTGATTTCTATTTTATTTGTCCTTCCAGTTTAGTAGTCTACTGTCTTAACACCAACCCAGGCATAGACACCTGCTCTATTATAACAAACATCCTATGGATCTCTGGGCCATACCATCTACCCTGTAGCTGAACTTTTTTATCTGGGTTTCCTCTCCCAACTGGAATTTGAGCTCTTTGACAGCAATGACTGTGTCTTTTTTGTTCTTATATTCCCAGGATTTAGCACAATGCTTTAACACATAGTAAGTGCTTTAGAAATGCTTTTCCATTCCTTTCCAATATAACAACAGATCTCTCTCAAACCTTCCTTGACAAGAGAGTATAGGGGCAGCTAGGTGTCACAGTGGATAGAGCACCAGCCCTGGAGTCAGAAGGACCTGAGTTCAAATCCGGCCTCAGACCAAACACTTGACACTTACTTAGCTGTGTGACCCTGGACAAGTCACTTAACCCCAATTGCCTTAAAAAAAAAAAAGAGAGAGAGAGAGAGGGTATAGTCAGTTTTGGGGTTTTTAAAAGGCTTTTGTCACAGGCAAAGTAAATGTGAATAATATAACATTAATACGGTTGACATGATAAAGAAGCATGTAAGCAGGTGCTTGTGTTGAGTTGCCAAACTTGAAAAAAAGATTTGTTACAAATAAATTTGAATATAATTGTATTTCTTAACCTTACATATTTATCATGTAAGCATGTAATTCACATATTTTAATTAAAACAAATGTAGATGAGTTATAGAAATTTAGATAAAAATTATATTTTTCTTATGAGAAAGTACATTTTAAAGAAAATAAATCAAAAATTTAGACTGTTGATCCATCTTCAATATATAGTCATGTATACACATACATGTACATCCCCCCCCATATATATAGAGAGAGTGTATAATGGATAATTTTTTTGGTCTAATTTCTTTGGTGTAGGGCACTGCGTGGTAAGGAAATTCCCACTACTAATGTAAATAAGCAGCTCTTGCAGTTTATAGTTTTAGAGGGGTGTGTGGTACATACATCCCTGAGAGGTTAAGTGACTTATCCAGTGTCTCATATCCTGTGCATCACAGGTGAGACTTGAACTCAGTTCATCCATACTTTCCCACCAACCTTCTATTACGCCACTTTACTTGTCAAAGGATATTTAATATCATTAATGAAACATTGCTCAATATATGTTACTCTGACTTTTTTGTTTAAATGGTTAACTTTTTTTTGTAATGAAAATTTTTATAGGGTAATTATTATGAATGGCTTATCATCCTCACAATCCTTTTTTTTCCTTCTCTGTCTGGAAATAGTACCATAAGTCATCGCTCAGAGAAAAGTGAAATAAGTATTGGAGAAGAGATAGAAGAAGATATTTCTGTGGAACTAGATGACATCAATATCAATGATAAAGTATGCTTTTATATATGCATGTTTTTATTGACTGATCTGCTTTTTCAAGAAATGGATTTAGTGGATTTGTAGGCTAGAGAAGCTTTATATATAGCTGGTTTTGTACTTCATTTGTACAGTTTGTGGTCTTGGGGTACTTTTATTGTGAAGGAACAGAAAAAGAAGGAAAAATAACTGAGTTAGTTTGACATGCACCCTAAATTTTGAGAAAGCAGATTTTACTGGATTATGAACACTAGAGGTAGGATCCAGTGACTTCAAATGCTTCAGAGGAAGTCAGCCTAAGGTAAATTAGAGGTGCCCTAGGATAAAATTCCAATACATGAAAACAATTTCAGGAAGGAGGAAAAAATATGATTTGTCTGGGGAGATTTATGTGATTATACAAACACCATCCAACTTACAATTTAAAAAAACTGTACAGAAGATGAAAGCAAGGCTGGAGAACAATAGGTTTAAGAGTGTCACACAATCCTCTAAATATAGTGTTGGGAATGCTAAAGCTTATAATGAGCTGAAGCCAGCAAGGGAAGATAAGAACAATCTAAAAAAGGCTTTTTCACTTATAATAAGAAAGAAAGAAGGATCAAAGAAGGGATCACATGCTTGCTTGATGTAGATGAGATGATAACTGACAATAGAAGGTAAAGCTGCTGAATTTTTATTTTATTTCTGTTTTCTCTGCAAAGGAGAATGACTGGAAATGACAGAATAAAAATGACTAACAGAGTTGATGCCCAAGATAAATAAAGGGAGAGTATGAGAGTATAGCTGCCCTTAATCGAAGTCACCTTTCCTACAAGAACTATATCTACAGGTCTGGAAGAACTAGCATATGTGATTACTTAGCCACTGTCCGTGATAATGGAAAGATCATCAAAAATAGGAGACATATCACAAGATTGGAAAAAGTCTAAAGTACCAGTTTTTCAAAGAAGGGAAGAGGATTGAGTTTTTAAAGTATAGATTAGTGAGCTTGACTTTTGAGTTTTAGAAAATTCTGGAAGGGCTTATTAAAAAGATGGTTGGCAGATATCTAGAAAGAGAAGTAGTGATTATAAAGAGCCAGCATGGCTTCATCAAGAACAAGTTATTCCCAGTTAACCTTGCTTTCCTTTTTTGACAGGATTACTATAATAGATAAGGGGGAATGCTGTGGATATAGTTACCTAGAATTTAACAAAGCTTTTAGTAAAATATCTCATGCTTTTTTTGTGGAGAGATGGAAGGATAAGAATCAGACAATAATATAGTCAGATGGATTCAGAAATGGTTGGATAGCTAGACTCAAAGAGTACTTAATAGTTCAGTGTTAATGTGGCAGGAGGTCTGTAGTGGAATAACCTAAGGATTTGTCTTGACCCTGTACTGTTTAATGATGTTTTTGTAAATTACTTGGATAAAGGTAGAGAATGATATGCCCATCCAGTTTTCTGATGACAGTGCAAATGATAGTAAATACATTGAATGACTGAGTCAGGATCCAAAAAGATCTTGAGGGACTAGAGGATTGGGCTGAATCTAATAAGATGAAATTCATTAGGGATAAGGGTAGAGTCTTACACTGGAGTACAAAAAAAAAATTCCACAGCTATACAGTAAAAAAGGAATGAGGAGGCAGCTGTTCTGTTTTATTGGATTCAAGCTCAATTTTATTAGCAAAAAAAAAAAACAACTCTCTTGGATTGCATTAAGAGGGATCATAGCTTCCATGGATTGGAAAATGATAGTCCCACTCCACTTTGCCTTTGTCAGAATACACCTGAAGTATGGTATTTACTTCTGGACACAGTGATTTAGGAGTGATATTGAGTGTCTGTAGTGACTGTAAGAGGGCAGCTATGATGAATCTTGAGCCCATGTCATATTAAGACCATCTGAAGGAATTGTGTATAAATTTAGCCTGTAGAAAAGAAAAATTAGAGGGCACACAATAGCTGTGTTCAAGCATGTAAAGGGCTGTCTTGTAGAGGAAGAGATTAGTGTCATTTGGCCCCAGAGGATAGAACTAAGAACAGTGCATAAAAGTTGCCGGGTGAACAATTTAAGCCTGATAGCAGGAAAAACTTACTGAAAATTAGAGCTGTTGAAAAATAGAATGGACTGCCTTAAGAGGAAATGGCTTCTCTCTTCTTAGAGGTCTTTAGGTAGAAGCAAGAAATTATTTTAAGGTATGAGTTGTCCTAGATGGCCACTGAAATCTCTTCCTACTCTCTGATTCTGTGTTTATGTCTATTGTCGAATAATAGAGAAGTAAAATTTTGCTTCAAGTAATTTACATTTCAGCCATTCAAGTACCATTTTAAGAGTATCTGATTGAGTAAATAGGAAAATTTAGCATATCAAAGTTTCTTCCTTTTTCCTCCCCTAATAAGTGCTACCTGAAGGTTTTCCCTTTTACCGGCCTTTTCCCAGTCCTCATCCTGCTTCACGTCTTTTCAACATTTTGACAGTGTAGACCTGTAACATCAGACTCAAATAGAAATGGGGGCCACTAATCCAAACGTAAGGATCAATCCTTGTGGAATCATATTGACTTACTTGTAAAATATAATACATTTTTTTATTGTATTTTTATTTTATTATTTTATTAGATGTTTCCAAATTACATTTTAATTTGGTTTGGGCCACACTCAAGAGTATTGTGGGCTGTGTGGCATGTTTAACATGTTTTATGTAGACCGTCATCTTCTCCTGGATGTTCTTTCCTCTGGATTTTTATGGCACTGCTGTGTCACGATTCTCTTTTGCCATATAAACCAATCCTTTTGGTTGTCTTTGTAGGTTTATCTGGCATATCACACATTGCCCTTAGCCCCATCTTTTGTTTGTGTATTCTCTCTTGGTGATCACATTACTATGGGTTTGTCATCTCTATCCAGATGTATATCTGTATATCCAACTTTCATCTGTCTCTTAGGCTCCTGTCCTGCATCTCCAGTTATTGATAGAATAAGTCTTTTTTTGTTTTTAAATAAGCATTTATTTATTTATTTTTTTGGGCATTTGGGGTTAAGTGACTTACCCAGGGTCACACAGCTAGTAAGTGTCAAGTGTTTGGTCTGAAGCGAGATTTGAACTCAGGTCCTCCTGACTTCAGTTCAGTGCGCTATCCATTGCGCCACCTAGCTACCCAAAGATAATTCTTCATGGATATTTCAAAAGCATCTCAAACTTGACATATATCCTGAGCCCACCACTCCTTCTAACATCCCTATTTCTACTGAGGGCACCACCTTTTTTCCAGGTGCCCATATTCACAGGCTAAGAGTTACTCTTGATTTTTCCCTCTCATTCTTAATATACAATCCATTGCCAAGTTTCAATTAGAACGGCTAAGATAACACTTTAAAGTCTGCAAAGTGCTTTACATACGTTATCTCATTTGATCCTCAAAACAACTGTGTAAGGTAGGTACTGTTATTATCCTTATTTTGTAGGTGAGAAAACTGAGGTTGAGAAAGGTTAAGTGACTTGCCTAGATTCATACATCTAGGAAGTATTGGAAACTGGTTTTGAACTCAGGTCTTTCTAAAGATTCCAGATCCTGACATTTTCCATTGCACCATCTGGCTGCCTAGTTTTGTCAGTTGTGCTTCCTTAGTATCTCCTACATTCATTCCATTTTCTTTGTTCACACCACACCTATCCCAGTCCAGACTTTCTACTCCCCCCTCACATACTTTGTGTTCCAGCCAACTGATTTATTATCTGTGTAATTTGTTCATGACATTTGTTCTTTCTGTGCCTTTAATAGGCTTTCCTCCGTTCTTGGCATACTCTTCATTTCCACCTTTTTGAAACTATTCAGTGCTCAGCTTAAATGCCACTTCCTTCAGTAACCCTTTTGCAATTCCCATAATTATTAGTGTACCCCTCCACCCTTCACTGTGAATTTATTTTTTATACATATATGTGTGTGTGTGTGTGTGTGTGTGTGTGTGTGTGTATATTTTTGTATGTTTCTTATACTTATTAGAACATGTCCTGTCTCTCTGGTAGAATTAGGATTATTGGGAACAGTAATTTTCTCACTTCTATCTTTTTTTATATATCCCCAGGGCCTGGTACATAATAGAAGCTTATTGAATGCTTATTGATTGATATATTGAGGTCATGGATGACAGTTCTAATAACTGCCACTCCTGTTACACTTTAAAGTTTAAAAAGCACACTCCCACAACAGTGCTGTGAGGTAAATAATACCAGTATTAATAACATTTTACAGCTGTTTATACTTCAGCTCAAGGTAATTACTCAGTTGCTCATGAGCACAGCTAGGAAGCACTAAAAATTGGATTTGAAACCAATCTAATAGTCTTTCCAGGGTATCCTGCTGCTTCTGTAGTTGCTTAGGGTAGACCAGCAAGGATTAGGGCCAGAGTCATGCTATTTTCTTATACACATAGTACAAAATGTAGGAGAATGTCACAGTTGGGTTGAGTTAGGAATGATAGCATAATGGAGTGGATAGAGAGCTGGCCTTTAAGCCTGGAAGACCTAGGTTTAAATCCTGCCTCTGACACATACTGTCTTTGTGACCCTAGGTAAATCATTTATCTCACAGTAATGCTCGAGACAACACTCTTAAGACTAAAGTTACAGAGAATGTATTGGACTGCATTGCTAAGGGGTTTCCTTATCTAGAGAGCTCCTTATAACAATAAAATCACAAGTCCAGTCCCTTTCTCTATTCCTTCCAGCCCTCTAGGATAGAAAAGTATGTAGTATAGTGGTACTTTGTAGAGTGATGGTAGAGTATCAAGCCACATCCAGGAAGCACATGAGGTGTGAAATCCAAGTAGGCAGTTTGACGTCAATGTACAGAGATCCAGGAAAGCGCAGTAGGAGTAACTATATACATAATGATTAGTATTCAGAGATTTACAACAGGCAGAAAATAGAGTCTAGACAGAGAAACCAAGAACCATGACTCAAAATCTGGTGGAGACTGATTACCTCTTAAGAATTGCAGAAGAATATCAGAATAGATTTTAACAAGAGTACTCTACAATAAAATTATGGAGAAAATGATTACTTAAAGGAAATAGATTATTTCCTTAGCAAATTCATTCTTCATAAATGGTACAAAGGTCATCTTTAGTCTGTCCTTAATCCAGGTTACCACAGATTTCAGGTATTAGAGAGTATGTGTGTATACACACATGCATGCATGCATACATTGCAGAATACATTCTTGTGGTTGTCAAAAACACATTTTATTTTAAAATATGTCACAGCTAAGTGTTGTTCTTTCTAAAACTTATCCATGATGCTAAAAATTAGTTTGGAACCCAGTATTTGAAATTTGTGGTATAATATATGTGTATGGGATACACCCACCCACACATACACACAAAAAAGCTTCTCAGTGCATTGTCCTTCCACAATAGTAAAGTACTCTGCAGTCCAGGTGATTCCATTTCATAGAATCCTGGACTTTTCTTTGGCTGTCTTAAATTGAATCAGTCCTCTCCCATTCATTCAATCATTAAATGAAAAGTGTGTGTGTGTGTTGTGTGTGTGTGCGTGTGTGTGCGTGCGTGCGTGCGCGCGCATGTGCATGTACTGTGTTCAAGGCCCTGAAAATAGCAATTACTAGTTGAGGGGTTGGGAGTGAAAGAAAGAATAAAATATGGTCCGTGTTCTATAGAAACTTATGATCTAGCATGCACACGAATTACCATGTCATGTAAAAGCACAATTTGAGGAATACAAGGTGCTACACTAATTCAGATGACTTTGGGCTAAGGAAATCCTGGAAGGCTTAATAGGAAAGATGACATTTGAACTGGGCCTTGACAGATAGACTTCTGTTCTTCTCTCTATGTTTGTTTTTTGATATGTTTGAGAACCATGGTTACCATTTCACATTACAGTCCTATCAGAATAGGACTTTAATGGAGGAGGAAATGCCACATAAATACTTTAATCCAACATGTTTGTCCTGTATTACTATCAGTCATTTACTTAGAAGGTCTTTAGAGGGTCATATAATCTGGCAACATGTTTTCAGGGTGAGCTTTGGAAAGTCTACATTAGTTATTGAGGACAATATAAACAAAATAGATGAATTCCTCTGTCATGGAGATTATATAATATAGTTGAGAAGATTGGATTTACAGAGGTTAAACAGTTATGGAGTATTTTAAAAATGATGCTAGTTAACTTTAGCAGTATAATACAAAACAGCTATATGTGTTATCCGTATTATTCTGAACTTCTTATGTATTCAGTATGTAAACATACTCATTCTCTATTTTTTTCTGATGCTATTGACCCATTTTATGTTGTATTTATACAATCTACCCTAAAAACTATGTGCTTCTGACTAATTTCATTTTAAAGAATATATTTTGAATTCTAATTCAAAAAGTGTTCCCTTAAGCAACCTCAACAAATGTTCATTTATTATTAACATTTGTTGAACCTTTCATTTTTCTAAACTTATTATCACCTAGTATTCCTTGACATCAACAAATCATTTGTTATGAACTACTGCCTCTGTTCTCTTTCCCTAAATGTTTTTGATTGTTGCCTTTTTCTTCCTTTGGATGGCTGTTTTCTGCCTTTATAAAAACACAGTCCTTTATTCTTGTAGATCACACAAAATTATCTTTTAAACAAATTTCTCGTATTGTCTTCATTGATTTGATTCTGTGGCTTATGTACCATTCCTCACAGATATAAGACTTAAGTAAATTATTCTACCTTATTTGATAAAGTATAATTATATTAATATTAGCATATTCTCAAATGATGTTTGAGGAAAAAAGTCATTCATGATAATGAAATCTGAAAGGTATGTTGACAAATCTTAAATGAATGAATTAGCATTGCTATATGCCAGGCACTGTGTTAAGTGCCGGGGATACAAATATAAGCAAACAAGTCAATCTCTCCCCTCTAGGAACTTAAATTCTAACAGAGAAAGATATCATACAAAGGGGAGCTATAAAGTGGGGGCAGGGGAAGGTAGAAAGGGCAGAGTTTAGGTTTTGAAAGGTGGGAGATATGAAAAATGGCCAAATTCCAGGTTGACTTGGTTTGAAAATGACCAAGAAGCGGCATAGTGTCATGGTTCCAGAAGAGATAAGGTGAAAATTTACTTATCAGAGCCCTGGGTCCCAGAGGCAGGTTTCAAGTTCCTTTAGGAAGATGTTGAGAATGGCCAGAATACAGACAGCAATGATTTGGAAATGGGAGGAAAAAGAGGGTTCTGTTTCAACTATACATGTGTTTCTCTTCCATGACACTGATTTAACTTGATTTTAATTGTATTTGATAACCACTCACGAGTTTTAAGTTATTATCTTAAGTTCAATTTTTACTTTGGTCTTTTCCTTACTGGAGGTTTTTCTCACAAAGTCTATATGCCTGCTGACTGGGTATCATAGAGGGGATTCCTTACTGTTAAGGTATAGATTGGACCATTTCACAAAGTAGACACCTAATTTTTATTGACTGAATTGCCAGATAACTGCTTAGATCCCCTAATTCTAACATTGTTTGATCTTAAAAAATCATTGGTAGAGGTTTTAAAATGTCGATTTTCCTCAATTTTAATGAATTTCAGTAAAATTTAGAATATAGGAAGAAGTTCAGAGAGATATGCTTGTACTGAATGAAGTCTACAATAGATACAAATAAGGCCAATTAGCAATGATATTTTTTGGACCATTTTCTCATTTTGTTGGTCTTACTAAAATAACTCTTGGCCAAATTTTCTTAAAACTTTTCATTTGTAACTTATTTGAGATTCTGATCATTGTTTTAATCTCAGCTCGGCCTTAACCATGTAAACCTAATCCAAGTCTTCTAAGTCTCAAATTTTCTCATCTATCATATGGCTAATAGATTTGATGAGCTTTGTTAAATAAGTACTTTGTAAATGATAATTTTAGAATTTATTATCATAATAGTTATTTTAGAGAACTAATTGTTTTCTCTTTCTTTTTACAAAAAGCTTGAAGACCTCACACAAGACATTACTGTTTCTCAACTTAGTGATGTTGCAGATTACCTAGAAGACGTTGCATAGACATGAAAGAAGGAGGTATTCTAATAAAATGGACTAAGGACTCAAAACAGTTACATTTCTTTCAGACAATCACTTTGGAATGTCTGCTTCCTGTTTGTGCCTTGTGTTTCAAAAAGACTGGAGATAAAAAAAAAACTTATAATTTCACAGCATATACTAAATGAAATAGTACCAATTGGAACCTGTGTGGAGGATTTACTATTCTTCATTTAGTTAAAATATGCCTTTCACTGTGGAAGTTGGATTTGCTCAGCACTTGTCCATTGCAGGCAGTGGACACATGGAATTACCAGTGTTATGGAGAGTATAATAGAAGAAATCAACAAAACTATACCTTCACACAAAATTGTGTATGAATGAGTGTGTGTGGCATTATGATACTTTTCAAATATGGTTTTAGGCCTCAAAAGCAAGGACATCTGGAGTTAAGGCTTATCCACTCAATTATACTTTGTCATTGGTAAAGTCATTCTGAGATTAGTTAAGAGTTATGTGATAAATCTTTATTACTGAGATACATCAGTATAAGTTAGGTTTGGGATATCAGCTTTAACTTTATATTTCCTTCCTTTTGGAAGGTTCGTTAGACCATTAAGGTTATCTTAAATTACTCTTCTGTCTGCTAATTAATTTTATTTTATAGACATCTAATAAGTGGTTGAAGCTTTGAGTTCCTAGAGATGGACAGTATCACAGTCAAGTTACTGTTGATGAGCCATTGTCAGTGTGAGAATTTTTGATTTACAAACAGAAAAATGTTCACTACAGTTGCATTTTTTTAAAAAAAATTTGCCTTCTAAGATACCCAAACAAGCCTGAAACCACTAAACAGCTCTTCCTTTTTGCTTCAGACCTGTAAGTTGACATCTAAGTTTAAATCCAAATTGGAAAACAAAATTAGTGATGGCCTAAGACCACATGAATATTCAGTTTCAGACAGAAGCTTATACTGTGCATGTTTTCATTATAACTGTATAAAAACAGGGTCAATAATGGAAATGCTGACAGTTTTGTTTATACTGTCATGCATAAATGCTGCTATTTATAGGTCATTGACATTTGTAATACTAAAGTCTTTTAAATTGCACTTGAGCATTGTTAAAAATAATTGGGAATGATAAATACAGGTGAATGTAAGCAGCTATACATTTATGTTAAATTTTTATACTTTTTTATTTCAATTAAATTACAATTATTTTTTGTCACCTTAATAGAAGCAGCATGCTAAACCAAATACATTAATGTAATGACGAGAGGAGATAATACATAGTTTACATAAAGCCAACTGGTACTCTCACATTGGCTCAAATATTTTAAAGTAATAATTTGTTGAGTTTTTGGTATAAAAGGTGATAAATACGTACAGACTTTTCACTTGATGGTAATTATGATATTAAAATCTGGAATTGATTCTTTTTTGTTTACTGAAAATAAACCAAACAAGAATATGGCAGAATTAAAAGGGGAAAAAACCAAGGACCATTGATGATGTTCAGGTCTGCCCTAGATTTATAAAGCAGTATCTCAAGATAGTTAAGGCCGTTATATTTTTGTGTATTTGAATCATATCAAGAGGACCTTTAAATGGTAAACATCTTGTATGAAGAAACACTCTACTGCAAAAAACTGTCCAAATTACTTATTATAAAATACCTTTCATGCTTTGTGTAACATCCAGCAAACAATGTGAAATTTAAATGGCTGTTGTAAAGTGTAATGTTTTTGTTCTGCCCACTTGTGAATTGTATCAAATGTATTTTTTTAAATCCTGATTTAAGATAATGAGATTTCAATGAAATGTTTAAAACTTTGTTGCAAGATGTGACCTTTATAAAAATTATAAAACCAATTATAAATTGTTGAATTACTTAGTAGCATCTGAAATGTGGCATTTTCCTGCCTGTTAGAGAATCTGAATTTCAGATGGTATTTGGGAGAAAAATACCAAATATGAGATCATTTTAAGATGCTAGTACTATATGCATTTTTGAGTAACTTTTAGCAACTTAAAATTCAACTATAAGATAAGGCTATGGTGCTAGATGGAGTCATTCACCCCGTTCGAAATAGATTTACCTATCTAAATAAGGAGTAAGCTTTAAGGTTTAGAATGGTAGGCCAGAAGATTTTGAGTGTGAAGGGGTTTTTTTTAGACGCATGTATATGGAAATATCCCAGGTAGCATACTTTTTGGAATATATTTTTATGGAGTGAAACTAGTATTCTACAGTGGAAGTTTTCATATTTCAGGTCCTTCATTAACTGACAAAAAATAAAAGTGCTTTTTTCTTCTTTCCTTCATGTTCTCTCATCTTTATTCATTGCTGTTATGTCACTAATTGGGTATTTATAAGCATATCAAAAAGCTCGTTAGGCAGAAGTAGATAATGTATACAGTACATCTATCCTTTATATTAAACAATTTTGAAATAACTGCGTGAATTAAAGAATATATTTCACATATTTCTCCCATTTCCTGAACACTTACCACCTCAAAATTTCCAGATCCATTAGGCCTATCCTCATTCCTGATCAGATTCATGTAAAGCCAAACTAAAAACTAACTGTATTAGACAGAGTACGTCTCCATGCGTTCGTGGTAGCTGTTTATGTATGTGAGATTGTCCTACCATGCTGCCACACGTCATTTTACTTTAGGAAGAAAGAAAAAGAAATATTCTATCTCTTTTTTCTTTCTTGCATCTTTTGTGTAAAGCATTCTGCTGGGCCCTGGGTAGGATTGATGGAAATAGCAGTGTTGTGCTTATTTTGTATGTTCGTATGCTTTCATCATGTGATCCTAGATTGAAAGCTAGAAAGGGACCATAGAAGTCCCATTTTACATTTGAGGAAACTGGGTCAAAAAAAAAGTGACTTGAGTTTCTAGCTCAGATCCTCTGTCCCCAGCATGTTTTCCTCTATACCCTGTTGTCTGCCATACCGATACACCTTCCCTTCATCTTCTCACTCCATTCTGTTTTTCTTTCTTCTAGTACTGTAGTTTTCATGTGGAAGGATTTTAAGCATTGTCCTTACCACTTCCCGGTCATGGCTTCCATCTTACCTTTGGTAAAGCTATTAACTGGATTTGTTACTCCTGAGACAAGTCCTAGGGCAAGCTGATGTTAGTCATTCATCATCAAGCTGTGTGCCCCATGTTGTCTTTGGATGTCTGAGGATCTAATAAAGGCTAATGCCAGCAAGAATGGCAGAGAGAACATTGCTATTGCCTGGGAAAGAGCAAGGAGGCTCAAAGGCCTTGATTGCCAATAGTCAAGAGTCAGATATTACTAGTACCTTTATCCTTTCCAGGGAGTGGCAACATGTCATTGTTAGCCGTGACAGTGTTCTTAGATGCTCTGTTTCTTTTTCTTTGCCACCACCATCAGCAATAAGAGCACTACACTGGGACTGTGATAAGATCTCCCCCCGCTCCGTGTTTTGGTTTTCTTAGGAGCAAAAAGGAATCCGCATGAGAGACATTGGTGATGGGCTGGGAGATGATGAGAAGAAGAATTTCTTTGAAGCCACAACCTCAGGGGCTGGAGCATTTGGGAGAAAAGAAGACAGACTGAATAAGGTGCCCATGTGCACAAAGATAACCTATACAAAAGATGTAACTCTGGTAGGTACCCCGCCTGGCTGCAGCTAAAACGGCCTTTGCCAGTTGGTAAGCTTTTCTTATCCTACTTGGGCTTTGGCACATGTCCAGCCTTTCTTTCTGCCATCTATATGTTGTGCTTGACCTATACTATTTTCATTTGCAGATGCTAGTGTTTTAAGGTATTTTTCATATGTAAATGACCAAATATTTGCATTATATGAGACAATTTTACCTGCAAATGATAGTTTTTAAATGTCCTTTGTATTCTCTAGTAATTTACTTTTCCAGATACATTGCCATTTCATAGGATTTAAATCTGTAAGAGAACTTAAGAGGTCATCTGCTCTGATAGAAGAGGCAACTGGTGGTGTAGTGTGTAGGGCACTGTACCAGGAGTCAGCAAGACTTGAGTTCAAATCTGGCCTCAGACACTTTAGTAGGACCCTGGGCAAGTAACTCAATCTCTGTGTGCCTCAGTTTCCTCATCTCTAAAATGGAGATAATAGCGCTTACACCCACCTCCCACCAGGGTTGTGAAGATCAAATGAGGTAACATTTGTAAAAAGCACTTAGCACAATGCCTGGAACATAGTAAGCGCCTTATGCTTATTTCCTTTATTTTACGGATGAGGAAACAGGCCCACAAAGGTCACAGAATTTGAGAGGTAGAAAGGGCTTCGCTGGCTAGAGATGTATTTGTCCTATATACAAAGGAATCCCCACCATGACATACCTGACAAGGGGTCATCCAGCCTCTTTCCTTTTTTTTTAAAATATTTTATTTTTTTCCCCCAATTACATGTAAAAAACAATTTTCAACACTTGTTTTTTGAAATTTTGAGTTCCAAATTCACTCCCTCCCTCATCTCCCCCATCCCAGAGATAGGTAAGCAATCTGATATGGGTTATACATGTGCAATCAGGTAAAATATATTTCCACATTACTCATTGTGTGGAAGAAACCTCAGACAAAAAAAGAGTGAAAAGTAGTATGCTTTGGTCTGCATTTAGACTCATTTTCTTTGGAGATAGATAGCATTTTTCCTTATGAGTCCTTTAGAATTCTCTTGGATCATTGTATTGCTGAGAATAGCTAAGTCATTCACAGTTGATCATTGTACAATATTGCTGTTACTGTGTACAACGTTCTATTTCTACTTATTTCACTTTGCATCAGTTCATATAAGTCTTTGCAGGTTTTTCTGAAGCATCCTGCTTGTCATTTCTTATAGCATAATAGTATTCTATTACAATCATGTATCACAACCTGTTCAGCCATTCCCCACTTTGATGGGCATCTCCTCAATTTCCAATTCTCTGCCACCACAAAAAGAATTGCTATAAATATTTTTGTATAAATAGACCCTTTCCCCCCCTTTTTTTTATTCCTTTGGGATGCAGACCTAGTAGTGGTACAGCTGGGTCAAAGGGTATACCCAGTTTTATAGCCCTTTGGGCATAGTTCCAAATTGCTCTCTATAGAGCAGACCTGTGTGCCAAAGGATTTCGGGTGGCCCACGAAAAATGTAGAGGATATTTCCTCTACATTTTTTGCGGTGCTGCCCAAAATCTATTGACAGGCTTCAGGTTGTGCAGGCCTGCTCTATGAAATGGTTGGATCCGTTCACAACTCCACCGACAGTGTAGTAGTATCCTGATTTTCCCACATCTTCTCTAGCATTTATCATTTTTTTTCTGTCATGTTAGCCAATCTGGTAGGAGTTGTGAAGTTTTAATTTGCATTTCTCTAATCGATATGGTTTAAAGCATTTTTTCATATGACTATTGATAGCTTTGATTTCTTTTTCTAACAGCTGCTGTTTATGTCCTTTGACCATTTATCAATTGGGGAATGACTTGTATTGTTAAATTTGGCTCAGTTCCCTATGTATTTGAGAAATGAGGCCTTTGTCAGAGAAACTTTCTGTAAATTTTGTTTTTCTATTTCCTGTTTTCCTTTTAATCTTGCTTGCATTGGTTTTGTTTGTGCAAAACCTTTTAAATTTCATGTAATCAAAATTATTCTTTTTACTTTCCATGATCCTCTCTATTTCTTGTTTGGTCATAAACTCTTATCTATAGGTCTGACAGGTAAATTTTTCATTGCTCCCCTGATTTACCTATGGTATCACCCTTTAAGTCTAAATCAGGTACCCATTTTGACCATATTTTGGTATACAGTGTGGGATGTTTCTACCAAACTGCTTTCCAGTTTTCACAGCAATTTTTGTCATATGGTGAGTTCTTGTCCCAACAGCTTGGATCTTTGGGTTTCTTGCACACTAAATTCCTATGGTCATTTACTACTGTGTATTGTGTACCTAATCTATTGGCATTGATCCACCTCTCCATTTCTTAGCTAGTACCAGCTTGTTTCAGTGATTATCACTTTATGATGTAGTTTGAAATGTGGTACTGCAAGGCCATCTTCCTTTACATTTTTTTCCGTTGATTTCCTTGATCTTTTGTTCTTCCAGATGAATTTTATTATTTTTTTTTTATCTTCTATAAAACAAGTCTTTAGTAGTTTGGTATAGCATTGAATAAGTAAATTAATTTAGGCAGAATTATTTTTATTGTATTGGCTTGGTCTACCCATGAGCTGTGAATATTTCTCCATTTCTGTTTAGATCTGTCTTTATTTGTGTGAAAAGTGTTTTGTAATTGTGTTCGTATAGTTCCTGGGTTTGTCTAGGCAGGAAGACTTTCAGGTATTTAATACTGTCTGCCATTATTTTAAATGGAATTCTATTTCTGTCTCTTCCTGCTGGGTTTTGTTGGTAATTTATAGAAATGCTGGTGATTTATGTAGGTTTATTTTGTATCCTGAAAGTTTGCTAAAGTTATTAATCATTTCAACTAGTTTTTGGTTGATTCTTTAAGGTACTCTAAGTATATATCATCATATCACTTGCAAACAGTAATAATTTTGTTTCTTTACCTATTTTTATTCCTTTAATTTCTTTTTTGTGTCTTATTGCTATAGGTAGCCTTTATAATACAATATTGAATAATATTGGTAATAATAGTTATCATTGCTTCACCTCTCATTGTGTTGGAAAGGTTTCTGTCTAGTTCATCCCCTTCACATATAATGCTTCTGTAGGTTTTAGATAGATATTGCTTACCTTTTAAGAAAAGCTCCATTCCTGTTCTAAGATTTTAAAATTGGAAATGGGTATTCTATTTTGTCAAAAGCTTTTTCTGTATCTATTGATGTAATCATAATTTTTGTTATTTTTGCATTTATATGGCCAGTTGTATTTAAGTTTTCCTGATTTTGAACCAGTTCTGCATTCCACCTCTTCACTGTGTATGACAATCATGATGTAGTCTCCTTAATAGTTTACTTACTGTATTAAAAAATCTTGCATTAATATTTATTAGGAAAATTGGCCTGTAGTTTTCTTTCTCTGTTTTTGCTCTGGTGGGCTTAAGTATCAAAATCATATTTGTGTTCTTTATAATTTCTCAAAATATGACATGTAAGACCCCCCCCCCCTTTTTGGTAATGACTTTCAGGTAGTCTAGTAATTCTTAAATTATCTTTTCTCAATTTGTTTTCCAAGTTAGTTTTTCTTTTTGAGCTTTTTTGCATTTTTCCTCTTATTTTTTCATTCTTTTGACTCTGTTTTATTGTTTCTTGATGTCTTATGGACTCATTAGGTTCTACTTAGCCAGTTATAATTTTTAAGGA